CATGAAATGGAGCCCACAAAGCACATTCTAGGCAGAATCCGAAGTCGAGATGGACTTTCATTCTGAGCAGTTACCACTTGGAGGAGGTGAGTAGTGAGAATGAGCCACTGATACACAGATCAATTAGCAGGAAATGTCAAATATTCAAGCAAACCATAGGAACTGGGAAAATAAACATGCAAGTAAGCGAAGAATGATCACCAAAGCCAGAATGAGAGGCCAGATAGCCCTCTGCTCTACGATCAGCGTCTTGGGATGTGAATGTGTTCACAGAGCAGTTCATTTGCTCATTCGGTCAACATTTATTGAATTCCCACTACGTGCCAGGCACTGTTCTGGGCACCGGAGATGCTAAAATGAATGTGAGACACAGTCCTTGTCCTTGAGAGATTTCAGCCTTATGGGAGAGACTGAGACAAGCAGTTACACCAGGCGGTGACTGTCCAGCAACGTTAGCGAAGTGCTTTGGGATTGGAGCAGAAAGTAGCCAGCTCTGCCTACAAGACTCCCAGAGAATGTCACAGAGGAGGTGACGGGATGAACCATGAATAGGTTTCTGTACTCATATGGGCAGTATTGCTGCCAGTACTGGGTGGGAGAGAATGTTCCAGAATGAGATGGCTTGAGGCTTCTGCTATAATAACTTTATAGCTTAGGAGGCTATAAAGGCTTAGGGGAAAGAATTGATCTACTTTGAGACTCCTGCTGTGCCAGGTACAGGATATGTGACCTGAGAGAAGTTATTTGATGTGGCTGTACCTCTGTTGCCTAGCTACAAAATGGCAGCAATCATATCTACCTTGTAGGGTTGCTCTGAGTAAGGGCTAGCTGCATGAGAATCCATCATTGCAAAGTGCTCAGTAAATAGCTGTTGAATGGTCAATATAAATATTTTCCTTATATAGTAAATCTTTTAATATTACATAATGAGGTTGGGTCCCCAAACATGTAGGATTTCTGGGAATAAGGAAGGTTGTCTTCCTAAACTAGTGACCTCAGGGATTTCATAGAAAAGGTGTTCATGTCATCTGAATTTCATTCATTCAGTAAACATTTCTCTAGTGATACTCTGTGCTAGGAACTACTCTAGCAAACAAAACAGAAAGGCAATAAATTAATCAGTAGATTTATGTGTTATGAAGGGATAAGCACCGTGAAGATAAAGCGAGACAAGAGGGAAGAGAGCGATGGGGACCGTCGTAGCCGGAGTGAAGTGGGATGCCCTCTCCAAGGAGGTGACATTTGAGCAGTGACCTGAAGGAAATGAGGAAGACTGGGGAGGAGCATTTCCTGCATTGAGAACATCAAGTGCCAAGCATTTGGCAGCCCGGAGGAACAGCGAAGAGTGAAGAGGAGCAGGAGCTGGGGGTGGAGAGGCAGGCAGGGCCCAGCGCATGCAGGGCTGTGCTGGCTGTGAAAAGGGCTTCAGACACTGGCTAAATGTGAAGATAGGCCACTGAATAGTGTGGAGCCAGTGAGTGGGCGTCTCAGAGTTAGTGGGAGAAGCTGTCTCGGACCGGGGTGACGGGTGTGGTGAGAAGTTGCTGGGTTTGGGATCTATTTGGAAGGTAGAACCAAAAGGATTTCCTAACGGTTTTGATGTGAGTGGAGGAAAACATCAAGGAAGAAGACAAGGTTTTGGTCTGAGAGACGAGGTGCCGTGAGTTAAGGTTTCGCGCGGAGATGGAGTGTGGTGGTGGGGGCGGGGGGCGTGTCAACACTGACAAACCAACTAAAGTCTGGGTCTGCTGTCTGCGCGGAGCCCAGGGGAACGGCTGGGGTTGGAACAGTCCGTCTGTACAGGTGGTGTTTGCAGCCGTGGGTCAGGTTGGGTGGGATCATCTATGGAGGGAGCGTGAAACGGGGAGAGAAGGGCTCTCAGGACTGACGTGGGGCAACCCAGATTTAGAGACAGGGAAAGGAGAAAGATCAGTGAACAAGACACGGAGGAAACGTAATATCAGGGCGACCCCAGAGCCTACTGGGTCTCCACCCACCAGTACCACAGAGGGGTCTCACCTACCTCTTTCTTTTCGATGGTCCTTCAGATTCCCTGAGACGATTCGGACTCACCTGGATTAGATAATGCTGCAGGCTTAGTGTGTCCAAGTCAACGTGAACTGTCAGGCCCCCCGTGACTTCCTAATGTCTTGAAACTCTCGCGATCTTCAGCTGGTCACAGTCCTTGTCTGAGTGGAAGGGGTTTGAGGCAGGGCCTGGTTGGCGTGGTTTTTAGCTATGTTAGAAATTATAAGGGCTAGATCTGGATGAGTCAGTGCAGTGTGGTGGCTGTCAGAAGTAAGCCATTGAAAACTGTGTGTCTAAAAGTAAGTGGGAAGAGATTTGGGGCTCTTCGTTTTAAAATATCAGGAAGGATTTAATGGATAATATGTGACTCAGGCGCGAAATGCAACCATCACACTCTCGTGCCGGAAACATCACTTACTTTTCTAAACACTCTGCCTCCAAGCCCCTACTGGCCTATCTCATTACCTTGTGTCACACAGGAATCTGGGCGCTTACGTGGCACCTCTAAAAGCTAACAGTATTTACCAAGAACATGACGATTGTCGAACATCAAAACTGGCTTCAGTCATTTTCATCACCGCCTGTCACCTCAGGCCACTGTGTGGAAAACTGGGATGAAGAAACTGACGGGAACCTGAGCCCATTCTCTAAAAATGGGCCTTTTAAAGGGCATACAATGGCATCATGGTTATCAGGACTACAGGGAGACTATAGTGGAGGAGGCTGTAGGGAGAGGGCCGTTCCTTCCCCTCCCACTAGCCCACATGACAGCAGCAGCCCCCGGTATGAACCAGGCCTCCCGAAGCTCATGGCCTTCCCTCTCCCGCCTCCCCACCGACCACTTCCGGGTCATGGCCCTCCTTCTCCCGCCTAACCAACAGCTACTTCCGGGTCAGAGCCCTCCCTCTCCTGCGTGCCCACCACCCACTTCCGGGTCATGCCCTCTCTCGCCTGCCCACAGCCTACTTCCGGGTCATGGCCCTGCCGCTCCTGCCTGCCCACCACTCCCCTGTTTCTCCCCAGGTAATTCCCATTTGTTTGTTTGTTTATCTACAGGCTTTTGCAAACATGGCCCTTTTGGTTCTGCCCTGTTTGCAAAGGAAGCCCCAGTTCTCTGGGACTCAAAGGACAGCCCGCCCCTTTGAGGAGGTGGGTGGTGAGGAGGAGAGGAGGAATTACTTCAATTTTTTTTCTTTTTTAACAGCAGCAAGAATAATAAAATAACAACTCTAAAATTATCCAGCCAGGCAGAGAGAAACCTCCTATTTTCAAGCCGTAATATACGTGTTTTTGTAAAGTGTTTTAACATGGAGAGTTAGTAGGAAAAGTACAATGAGCACCATGCAGTGAGTGTCTCCTTCCTCAACGGCTGTCGACTCGGGGCCAGTCCTGGCTGCATCTCCAGGTCACCCCCCACCCACCCCGCCCATTATTCTGAAACAAATCCGAGATATCATTTCATTTCAACCATAATTTTTCCAGCATAATTTTTCATTCTTTATTTTTCATTTTTTATTAATAATGTTTACATAAAATTTCCATGTATATTTAAAAAGATAAGAATTAAAAAAAAATAATCACGATACTATTATCACCCCTAAAAATAATGATTGCTTTACGTTATCAAATATCCAGCCGGTATTCAAATGATCAGTTTTCCATAAATGTAATGAGTGACTTAAAATAAAAACACGGTTTGGTTGAATTAGAAGTCAGACAAGATTGATTATATTGTTATTGGTTGATATGTTTTTTAAGTTTCCTTTAATGAATAATTTTCCCCTCCAACTTTTTTTCCCCTTGACAGTTAATCATTGAAGAAATCAGGTTGTTTGTCCTGTCGAGTTTCCCACAACCTGGATTTTTCTGGGTGCATTTCCATGGCATATCCCCGTAGAATGTGTTCCCCTCCTGTCACCTCCCCCCTCATCCCTGCTGGATTATTTCAAAACAAATTCCAGAGATCACATCATTTTATCTGTAAGGGCTTCAATATCTTGAACAGATAAGGATCCCCCCTTTTTTCCCATACAAACAACCATGCAACCATTATTATAACTTAAAAGAATGAATAATGATTCTTTAATATCGCCTGATTTATAATCATTGTTCAAATTTCCACAGTTGTCTCAGAAATGCCTTTTTACTATTGGTTTATTCTAATCAGGATTCAAACAAGGTGTTTGGTGATGTGTCTCTTAATAACACTCCCCTCCCCTTTTCTTCTTGCCATTTATTTGTCGAAAAGCCTGGTCATCGTTTCCATAGAATCTTCCACATTTTGGATTTGTCTGATTGCATGTCTGTAGTGTCGTCTGACACGTTCCTCTATTCCCTGTATTTCTTGTAGTCCTATTGTCAAATCTAGAGACGCCATCAAATTCAAAGCCAGTTTTGTTTTGTTTCGGACTTTACTTTTCTGTAAATCAACTTCTTTGGAGGCGTTGTATTTTTATAACGAATTGTCTCTGTTCATCGCTTGCTCAGATTCGGTTGCCGTCAGCCTGATCCAGCCAATAGTGACTAAAAAACTTCTATCATTTCTTCTGCACTGATGTGCTGGAATTCTTCTATTAAGGATACTTTTTTTTCTTGGACAGTTTGATTTCTTTGAAATGCAGTTTGTACAGCAAGGGCAGTTTGGTACTTTTCTTTATTTTTTTTCAAAAGAAATGCTTTTTGTTTTGCCATCAATAAGAAATTTACTTGCTTTTAAAAAATCCAAATGCTGGCATTGTCCAGGAAAATTTAATAGGTTTATTTATAATTGTTATAAAGTTGAACTGCTGACACTTGTTCATTGAAATATTTTGACTTGTATTAACACTTTATGTTCCCATATTTATATTAAAAATTCACACAAATGAAAATGGGAAAATGGGAAAGCTGCCAATACCTGATTTTTGTCCCGTTATTTTCACTTGCAATTAAATACTTCGGTACCTTTTGACCCCAAAGCAGGAAGAAGAGGATTTTTTTTTTAAAGAATGAAATGTTTCCTATCATAGTGGATTCTTAAGCACGTTCACCACGTATGCGGCGTGCGTGCTAGCTGGGTGTCTTTTGGCATAATTGTCACACGTTTGGCCTGGACAGCGCACAGGTTGGTGTCTTCAAAAAGGCCAACCAGATAGGCCTTGCTTGCCTCCTGCAAAGCACCAACACCTTCACTCTGGAAGCGCAGATCTGTTTTTAAGTCCCGAGTAATTTCTCACACCAGCACCAGACGCTGGAAGGGAAGTTTGCGAATCACAAGTTCAATGGGTTTCTGATAACGTCTAATTTCACGGAGCGCCACTGGACCGGGCCTGCAACGATGAGGTTTCTTCACTCCTCCAGTAGAGGGCGCACTCTTGCGAGCGGCTTTTGTGGCGCGTTGCTTCCTGGGTGCTTTACCATCCGCAGATTTGCGGGCTGTCTGCTCGGTATGAGCCACGGTATGGAGACCCCCTTACTTAACCCCTTCTCCTCCGCGAGCCAGAGGCGGCGCTGGCGTTGGGGAGCGACGGCCAAAAGAAATGTTTTTTGATTTCTTTTAAAAACATGAATTTTATATTTATAATAATGTGTATTATAGGAGGGACTTGAAATTGCCCGTGCCCTTATCAGAAGTATAAGCCTCCATTTGGCATGTGTGCTGGCCAAAGCTGCACTGGATAACATTTTCTTACCTTATTATTTTCTGGTGACTTACAGTGTTTGTATTAGCACTTACACTGCTATTTTTGTCAAAGTGAGTCTATTTTTTTTCACGTGGATGGAAGTGAAGTGTTTGGACTTGACTTAATAAAGCTGTTAAAGATTGCTAAAACAGGCTTCGAACATCACAGGGTTATAAGGAAAAGGAAGATTTAGAATATTTATATAAATAGCAAGAATCCATACTTCTGAACATAATTCTTCCCTAACTAATCAACTAACGCGTTTCTTGTTTTGATATTAATATATTTAAATTATATGTTTAAAATAATGTATATTTTAAATAAGCACACAACTCATATTTGCAACTTGTTATTTATATGTTTCTTCCGTTTTAAATTTGGTCATTCAATAATACACATTGTAATCTGGGTAGAAATTTAGTTAATTTCTGCAATAATCAGGATTAACTGGATAATTTCAAAATTCTCTTAATCTATGAATTAGGACTTTATATGATATAGAGAATAGAACTATTTCAGAACAGTTGTAACTTAACTCCAAGGAAAAGTTTGCTTTTCTAAACCCCCGATGGCCGTGATCCAAATACGCAGCTCACTCGGGGGCTCTGAGTCCCGAGAACCATGAAGCAACCGCGCGGTTGCGTGGGCGAGCGTCGGCGCTAACTGCCGCGTCAAGCGGGAACCGTGGACCGAAAAGGTAGACCCCAGACGCGAAAGGTTTCAATCACTAACGGTGGAAAACCATGCTGGGTTAAGAAGGTGTTGGGGAGCTCTTTCTCCAACTGGTTGTGGAAGCCGTGAAAGCCACGGGGCGCCATGCCGAGAATGGCCAGCAGAGGGAGCGTTCCTGGCTTTACGCGCTTGCGTACTGCGAAGGTGGAGGTGCCGCCGAGACTCGAGACGTGGAGAAAGCCAAGTGTGCATTCGGGTAACAGACTTCACGGTGCCAAGTGGGGGTCGGCTTGTTCACTGGCCCAGGCACCCCATCGCCGACCTCCTTTAATACGAACCAAATCAAAGGCTGCGACCGTTCTTCAAGCTCCTCCCGCGGCGCCCCTGGGCCTCGTCTTCGACAGAGAGCGCGCACCCCTGCAGGCCCGCACGCTCGGAAATCCCCGTTGTCGAAGGACGAATGACACCTTTAGGATCCGGGGCCGGAGGTGCAGCTGCCGGGCACAGCGGGGTCTGTCTCCCGGGGCCGCCTCCCGCACCGCGCGCGCATGGCCC